CCCCCCCCCCCACACACACACATACACGTAAAATAACTATCGCACCAGCCTCGGGGTCGAGGTCTTTGTCGCTGTCCTTGTGCGTGCGGCCCATGAGCAGGACATTTTCAATCTCAAGCGGGCGCAGTGGACGTGCAGAGCCGGACCTGGACTGGGGGCGGGGAAATAAAAATAGGGGTGGTTGTGTGATGATGCACCAACACGTTGATTCAGCTTCATGTGTGTGTGTGTGTGTGTGTGTGTGTGTGTGTGTGTGTGTGTGTGTGTGTGTGTGTGTGTGTGTGTGTGTGTGTGTGTGTGTGTGTGTGTGTGTGTGGTTGCGTATGATTGGCTTGGATCGTTTGCAGAGACGATTGTGTGAGTGAGTGCGAGTGAGTGCGCGCGTGCGTCTTTGTGCGTGCATGTGGGCGTGCGTGTACGTGCGAGTGCGTGTGTATGTGTAAGTGTGTGTCCATCACCCTCAATCATGCCATGTGCGGCCGTTGCGCTCACCAATGCGGCCCATGCCGATAACGCCGCATGTTTTGCCTGCAAGCTCCGTGCCGCACAGCCACATGGGCTTCCACGTGCCCCAGCCGCCGCTGCGCAACACAACAGAGGGCGAGTGACCGTGGAGATGTGGGGGCGGGGGTTGTGTGGATGTGAACAATACAGAGGATGAACCTACACGAGCACGTCACACGGGCAAGTGTACGCATGTTCAAAGCTCACCACACCACAATTACACCCAATGCACACACAAACACAGACACACACACACACACACACACACACACGCACGCACGTCTTTGCCTCGTGGACGGCTTGAGGGATGAGGCGGGCAGTGGCCAACAGCAGGGACAGCGTCAGATCAGCCTAGCAGGCGGCACAGTGCAGCCAGCAAACGGTACATGTCAATGGCATGGATGTGGCAAGTGACAGCCTTGAATGTGACACAAGTACCACACACACACACACACACACACACACACACACACACACACACACACACACACACACACAAACACACACACACACACAAACATGTGCACTGACCGTGGCGTTGGTGAGGACGCCTGGGGTGTTTCCGACCTTGATGCCACGTGCCTTGCACTCGGCCATGCTGTGCATCACCCACCACACCATGGTACATATGAGGGGTGAAACAATAACCAACACGGCCAAGACGCATTGCAGATGACTGCACACACATGCACACACATGCACACACACACATGACGTACTCGATGTGGTCAAAGCCGACGCTGAGGGTGCTCACGCACTGCAGGCTGTCACCGGCAGCATCAAGCACTTGTTTGTCGATCTTGTCCGACAGCATACACAGGATGCCTGCACAACGTCATTCGCAAAAGTTACACACACACACGCACACACACACACACATGCACGGGTGAGTGTCTCTGGATCAGCAGCTTTTATCGACAGCAACAAGAAAACAAGAACAATGAATGCACACTACAGAAACAACAGCGTGCAAACATACACACCGTGGCAGCCCTTGACGGCATCGAGGAGCTCCTCGCGCGGCATGCCCTGATCCTTGTCGTACACGAAAACATCCTCCACGCTGTTCAAAGCAAGACAAAGGTGTAAGGGCGTGTGAGGGAACAGGTGGCACAACCGATGCCTTTTGTTTGAATCTTGTCAAACAAACACAGACACAGACACAGACACAGACACAGACACAGACACAGACACACACACAGACACAGACACACACACACACACACACACACACACACACACACACACAGACACACACAGACACACACACACACACACACACACACACACACACACACACACACACACACACACACACACACACACACACACATAAATGGCTGCATACCGATCACGGAGCATGGCAAGGCCTTCTTCGTAGATCTTGCGGGTGACCACGACGCGGCGAGCAAGGCGAGACATGATGCTGCTGAAGGATTGGTATGGATGGGTGCGTCTTCGTCTTCGTCGTCTTCTTCTGGCAGTGGGAAAGTGCTGACTCGGCAGTTTACAAAAAGACAAACAAAACACGTGTGGCGCATCTTCCCCCCATCCATCCATCCATCCATCCATCCATCCATCCGCTCACTCGACACCGTGTAACAACTGCTGCACAAGATGGCTGATCGCGAGCAGCGACAGGCGCTGTTGTGGTTCGCAGCAGGGACGGTGGCTGGCGGCGCTGCGCTCGCCCTCGCATCCCGGTTCCTGTCTGGTGGCAGCAGCACAGCAACAAACGTTGCTGCATCGCCAGCGACAGCCGCAACAGCCGCAACATCCAAACCCGCAGCATCGCAGTTGGACGAGCCGCAGTTTGTGGAGCCTGCACGCACGACGGGGGCTGGTGAGCACGTGTCTGTGGGACGCCACGCGCACCGCGCAGAAAAGCCAGACGATCCGGCCGTTGTGGCAGAGCAGTTCAGCCGGAACCGCATGTTCTTCGGCGACGAGAACCAGCAGAAGCTGGAGCAGAGCTTCATCGTCGTCGTGGGGCTCGGCGGTGTCGGCAGCCACGCAGCACACATGCTGGCGCGTGCCGGCGTCGGCCGCCTGCGTCTGGTGGACTTTGACAACGTAACCCTGTCCTCCCTGAACCGGCACGCGGTCGCCACGCGCGACGATGTCGGCCGCCCCAAGGTCGTCGCCTGCGCCGAGCACTTTGCGGACATTGTGCCCACTTGCGAGGTGGACCCTCGCGTGGAGATGTTCACCGCCGACGTGGCGGACGAGCTGTTGAGCGGCAGGCCCTGCTTTGTTGTGGACGCCATCGACGATGTCAACACCAAGGTTGATCTGCTGCTTGCCTGCTCCCGCCTTGGCCTGACCGTGCTCAGCGCACTCAGTGCTGGCGCAAAGTCAGACCCCACCCGCCTCCTCATCGGCGACATTACAGACCCGAGCCGCGATCCGCTCGCCGCCAAGCTCCGCTGGGCACTTCGGTCTCGCGTCGTCAACAAGGCCGCATCCGACGAAGATAGTACGTTTGCGCGTACATGCGCATGTGTGCATGTGTGCATGTGTGCATGTGTGCATGTGTGTGAGTGTGCATGTGTGTGTGTCTGTGTGTCTGTGTGTGTTTTTGTGTGTGTGTCTGTGTGTGTGTGTGCGTGCGCGCGTGTGTGCATGTGTCTGTTTGCGCATTTCCATGTCTACGTGCGTACGTCCATCTGTTCGCGCTCCATGTCTACGTGCGTACGTCCATCTGTTCGCGCTCCATGTCTACGTGCGCACGTCCATCTGTTCGCGCTCCATGTCGATGTGCGCACGTCCATCTGTTTGCGCATTTCCATGTCTACGTGCGTTGTCCAAGTGCAATCGCCCTCACACAATCCCTGTCCCCCTTCCCAACAACCACTCCGCTCACCAATACTTCACAACTCCATTTTCGCTCTGAAGATGCGCGCGCGTTCCGTGCTGCCGTGGAGCATATCCGGGTGATCTACACCTCTGAGGAGCCCGCCGCCAAGCTCGCCGACCTCACCCCGGAGCAGATGGACGCTCCAGACGCATACGGCGCCGTTCCAAACTTCCGCATCCGCATCCTGCCTGTCCTCGGCACAATGCCCGCGCTGGTTGGTGTTGGCGCGGCGTCGTATGTGCTGTGCGAGCTGGCGGGGAAGCCGTTCAGCCCGCGCAAGATCGAGATGGTGTCGCACACGTTTGCACACAAGACGCACAACAGGCTGGTGCGGCACGAAGTGAAGGAGTTTGGCAACAACGGCAAGGACGACGACGCGCTGCCGGTCTCGGACGAGATTGACTGCACGTTCCTGCTGGAGGAGGTGTGGCGCATGCGCTCGGCGTTTGCGTTCCAGCGCGACCGAGCAACCACGCGCAACATCACCTTCACGCGGTTCGACCGGAGCAAGCCCGCGCAGCCATACAACCTGGTGCTGCTGACAGACCAGGAGATGCGGTGGCTGGACAGGGAGACGGCCATCACAGGCACGCTGCCAGCCATGCTGCTGCAGAACTGCGAGGCGCACGAGGTCGACTACAGCATCTATGCCACAGCCGACGACGATGATGATGGTGGTGTTGGTGGTGATGGGGGTGACGCAGGCGATGGCCCCAGGACGGAGGCAGAGCACGTCAATGGAGGCCATGCACCAAGCAGCGCCTCAAATACCACGCAACATACTGATCAGCAAGACCAACAACAACCGCAACAGCAGCACCCACCGCACCTGCCCAACAAGAAGCTGAAGCAGAAGAAGCAGATCCACGCGTCGCTGAAGCGTGGTGTGCCCAAGCTGGCCACCCTTAAGCACGTGTACGCCAAGCTCTCGGCCATGGAGCAGGAGTGGACACGCGCGCTCAAGAAGTGAACTGCGTCGTGTTGTGTGCGATGGAAGGTGTGAGGGGATGCGATGACTGCTTGTGGTGTTTTGTTTGTTGGCGTCCTGAGTCGTGTGCTTTAATTGATGGTTGCAAGCAAGTGTGGGTGTCCTTTGTGAACAATGATGAATGAATGAACAGGCCGGGTTCTAAGTTGATGGCGCGCGAAGCATTGCTTAGCAGAACACGCGTGCACGCGTACATGCGTGCATGTGTCTGTGTTGGAGCCAAACACAGAAGGACACCCACCCACACACACACACACACACACACACACACACACACACACACACACACACACACACACACCCACACACACACACACACACACACACACACACACACACACACACACACACACACACACACACACACACACACACACACACACAACACACACACACAAGACAAACAGCCAGTGAACGACGTTGGCGATTTGTGGATGATTTTGAACAATTTTCTTCATCGCCCGTGTACGTTCGAAGCTGGTGGATATGAAGCGCAAGCACCACGAGACAGACGCTGCAGCGGCAAGGCAGCCCAGCAAGGCTGCGCTCGCACGGCAGCGTGATGAAGAGGCCATCGCAAAGCTCGCCAGTGAACACTGGCCAGAGATCGCGACAGGGCCAAAGCCAGAGGTCGTGAAGCAGCTCTACACAGAGCTCCGCGCCAAGCGCTTTCCCCAACACAAGGTAATGGGATCTGATCACTGTGCGTGTGTTGTGAGCGTTGTGTGCGTGTGTGAGTGTGTGGTTGAGTGAGCGAGTGTGTGTGTGTGTGCGTGTGCATATGCGTGTACACGAGTGTGTGTGTGTGTGTGTGTGTTTGTGCGTGTGTGCGCGAACCACACATAAACTCGCACACAAACACACGCACACACACACGCATAGGCGTCTCTTCGCCACCGCTATGCTGTGCTCAGTGTGCATCAAATACAACCTAACTTCCCATCCTCGTGTGCGCTGCAGGTGTCTGCGCTGGAGTTCTCCTTGCTGCTGGAAAACCTTCTGTGGCCCACGTTCACGGCCGACTGTGGCCATGAACACCTCATGTGCATGGTGCTCATGGTCAACGAGAAGTTCCTCGAGGGCCACGACCCGTGGGTCGAGCTCTGCGCTGCAGACAAGGAGCAGCTCCTCACCTTCTTCGAGACAGCCTTCACCACATGCGCCAACCCCAAAGATCTGTCGTACCTCGAACGCAAGCATCTCAACATCTTCCTCATTCGCTGCTTCCAAAGCCTGGTGCGTCGCATGGTTTGCTTTCGTGTGTTTGTGTGTGTGTGATATGCTTGTGAGTGTGTGTATGCACATCTCAATCTGTCTCTGTTTGTACGCCTCTGGTCCCTTGCCCCACCCCTCCTGTCACTTTCCCCTCTCCTTTGCTCGTTCCCCTTCCCCTCCATTTCCCCCCTGTTTGCTTTGCGGCTGCCCTACACACCTCCACGTGCCCATCTCCGTGTTTGCCTTGTTCCTTCGTCTCACTTGACTGCTCTTCTGTTTGCCCACATGCACACTTGCCTCTCCTGCATCCATTGCGGTCTGCAGGAGCACGAGGTGATGCGGGAGTTTCTGCAGCCGTACATCAGCCTGAACACGTGGCACGCCCTGCTGCCGGAGCAGCGCCAGGAGCAGTTTGAGCAGCATCCGCGCCTCGCAAAGGGCTGGAAGAAGCTCTTAAAGCGCCTCAAGAAAATGCCCGACGATGAACAGGTATGTGTGTATGTGTGAGTGCGCGTGTGCGTGTGGATATGTGTGAATTTGTGAGTGCGTGTGTGGATATGTGTGTGAATGTGTGTGCGAGTTCGCACACATATTTTTGTGTACAACACATGCGTATGCGCGTGCCCGAGCAAAATGCAAATGCGTCAGACCTTTTCTTGAATCGCCCTTTGGCGTCCATCGATCCTGAATTCTCTTGCTCACTCACACCACCACCGCCCCCCTCGCTACAGACGGTGATGCTGCAGAAGCATCTGTTTGTGTATGACCTGATCAAGGGCTTCTTCGCTGCCCTGGAGTCAATCACCGCCGACGCCCCCGACCGCCATGCAATCGCATTTTGCGAGCGCTTTCTCGAGCTCCTCGTCGACATTGAGGTGCGCTGGTGGTGGTGACGTGTGTGTGTGTGTGTCTGTGTCTGTGTCTGTGCGTGTGCGTGTGCGTGTGGTGTGTGTGTGTGTGTTTGTGTGTTTGTGTGTTCGTATGCATTTGCAAGCGTTTGCATTTTTCCCTCACAACCACACGTGCACAACCACTTGTTGACGACGACCCATCCCTCCCTCCCTTCACACATCCCACTCCCCCACCCCCCTCCTTCACTCCATTCCCCCACAGGCGCTGCTGACGACCCGGCGCTACCTCAACACGGTGGTGCGGGCGTGCAACGTGGTGTCTGTGTGCCGCCTCTCTGCGCTGTTCTCCCTCCAGGACCGCGGACATCTCTTCCGCCAGCTGACGGAGATGCTTGAGTTCTATGTTGGCTTTGAGATTGATGACTTTACGGGCGAGCCCCTGACCGACGACATGATGACGGCCCGCAACTACGACGAGATGCACCGCCTCCAGCGCGCCGCCTTCCAGCACTTTCGCGAGCGGCTCCAGGACTTTGCCTTCAGTCACGTCAGCGGCATCAACACCCGTCAGGTGTGCATGCGTGTGCGTGTTTGTGTGCGCGTGTGTGTGCATGCGCGCGCGTGTGTGTGTTTATTTCTTTGTGTGCTTGTTTGTTTGTGTGTGTCTGTGCATGCGCGCGCGATTGTGTGTGCCACACGTTGTATTACCTGTCTCTCCACCCTTCGTGACACTCACTTCTTCACACATGCCTCACCACCACCACCACCTCTTCCTCCCCGCTTCACACACCAGGCGCTGGTGCAGTACCTTGAGCGGCTGGACGACGACCGCCTTCGCGAGCTGTGTGCGCACATGTGCATCGGCATGCCGACGAGCACGACGGCAGAGGAGGAGGCCATGGGCGGCCCCACCGTCCGCACGTCCACGGCGCACATGTCGCGCGAGCTGATGACGGAGGTGCTGTGCTCGCGGTTCACGCGGCGGCAGTCGCAGCTGGACGAGCTCAACGAGATGCCGCTCTTCCCGACAGAGAAGCTCCTGTGGGACGAGAACCTCGTGCCAACAGACCTCTACCGCAACCAGTGCCTTGCCCTGCCCAAGCTCAACCTGCAGTTCCTGACGCTGTTCGACTACCTCCTGCGCAACCTGAAGCTCTTCAACATGGAGAGCCTGTACGAGATCCGGCTGGACCTGGAGGACCACCTGCCGCGCCTCAGGCCATACACCAATGCCCAGGGCATCGTCAGCTTTGGCGGCTGGTCCCGCATGGCGCTGCCCGTGCAGGACTTTGCTGTTGTCGAGGTTGCGGCGCCGCACATTGGCTTCAACCACCCGTCGTCCGTGCGGGCGGACATGACGGTGACGCTGGACATGGCATCACACATCCGTAGGGAGTGGGAATCGCTGCGCAAGCACGACGTCGGCTTTCTCATCAGCCTCCACCCGCCCATGCTCAACCCAGCAGAGCTCGACACCTCCCTCCCCTTCCCACAACAGGTGTGCGTGTGTGTGTGCGTGTGTGTGCGTGTGTGTGCGAGTGAGCGAGTGTGTGTGAATGAGTGAGCGAGTGAGCGAGTGAGTGAGTGTGTGTGAGTGAGCGAGTGTGTGTGTGTGTGTGTGCGTGTGTGTGTGTGTGTGTGTGTGTGTGTTCTTCTTTCTGCATGTGTGTTTGCAGTGCCTGACGCTTTGTCTCGCGCGGTGTCTGACCATTTATTGCTCCACCTCATCACCATCCCTATTCCCTCACTTCACCATCCCTATTCCCTCACTTCACCATCCCTATTCCCTCACTTCACCATCATCATCACTATCGCCGAACCATAACCTCCCCCCTTTCGCACCCCATCGCCTCAGTTTGGGGTTGTTGCTGTGCGTGGGTGCGAGATTGAGGGCATGCTTGATGCGCGCGGCCAGCTGGTTGAGGAGCGACCGGATGTGCGCCCGCAGTTGCCCCGCGGCAACTCCCGCACATTCCGCCTCATCCTTGACCCAAACCAGTACCAGCTCGACCTCGTACGTTCTGCATCCCTGCGCGCGCACTTTTCGTTTGTGTGCGCATGTACATGTGCTTGTCTGCATGTATGCATGTGTGTGTGTGTGTGTGTGCGCTGTTGACGTTCGTGCCTTGCCCGTGACTACCGCACTTGTTTCTCCACCTCCGAACGCAATCAAACACGCAAGCACACAACCACAACCCTTCCAAGTAACCCCACCCACCTGCTCTTTTGGCCCCGCCAATGTGTATGTGTGTGTGTGTGTGATCAGGATGCTGGAGAGGGCGGGACGGACCTGTACTCGACGTTCAACGTGTTTGTGCGGCGCAACCCAAAGGAGAACAACTTCAAGGCGGTGCTTGAGACGATCCGCGACCTCATGAATACGCGCTGCGTCGTGCCAGACTGGCTGCACGACATCTTCCTCGGATACGGCGACCCGGCCGCCGCCCACTACTCAAACATCAGCTCCCAGCTGGCACACCTCAACTTCAACGACACGTTCCTCAGCCTCGCCCACGTCCGCGCCGCGTTCCCCAAGCACGACGTCGTGTATGAGGGCGGCGATGGCGACGGCGATGACGGTGCGAAGGCCAAGCCGCCATTTGCGCTGACGTTCCCTGTGGAGATGCCCGAGCGCAAGATCGACACGCTCGTGCCGCGCAACGTGGCGAAGAAGGGCAAGGCCAAGCCCAAGGCCACAGGCGATGCCATGGACGTGTCTGCAGACGGTGGCGATGGTGAGAAGCGGCCTGTGCTTCGTGTGCAGTCGCTGCACGAGGAGAACCGCGGCCCGTTCCCGCAGGACGCCCCAAAGCGCAACGCGGTCCCGTTTACAGCGGCGCAGGTGGAGGCGATCCACAGCGGCATGCAGCCGGGGCTCACCCTCGTCGTCGGTCCCCCGGGCACCGGAAAGACGGACGTCGCCGTGCAGGTGAGGGCGTTGTTGTTGAGATGTGTGTGTCTGTGTGTCTGTGTCTGTGTGCGTGTGCGTGTGCGTGTGCGTGTCTGTGCGTCTGTATCTGCATACCTGCGTGTGCGTGTGTCTGTGTTCGTGTGTCTGTACCTGTATACATGCGTGTGTTTGCGCGCACGCGTACGTGCCCCGGGCGTCGCTTTTCAGTCTCGTTTCTTCCTTTCCTTCCGCCCTCACCGTCATGCAACCTCCCCAAACACCAATCCCTCTCCCTCACCACAAAATCTTCAGACTATCTCGAACCTGTACCACAACCACCCGGACCAGCGGACGCTGATTGTGACGCACTCGAACCAGGCGCTGAACCAGCTGTTTGAGAAGCTGATCCACTTGGACATTGAGGAACGCCACCTGCTGCGTCTTGGCCGTGGCGAAGAGCTTCTCGAGACAACAAAGGACTTTAGCAGGTGCGTGCCGGCAGCGGTTGGAAAGGGAGGGGGAGCCCAGGGGTGTTGTTGTGGTGGTGGTGGTGGTGGTGGTAACCCTATTCTTGTGCTTGTGCTTGATCTTGTTCTGCTTGTGCAATGTTCCTTTGCTTCCCCCTACCCCTTTGTCTCGTTCCGCCGTTTTGCCCCGTGTCCTCACATTGCCTTCGCTCTTCTCGCTGTGATGTGACCCCGTGACAGGTACGGGCGGGTCGACTTTGTGCTGCAGCACCGCCTGGAACTGCTGGAGGAAGTGCAGCGCCTCGCCGCCAGCTTGCAATGTACGCTTACATGGTGCTGTTGCCCTGGGCACGTGGGGGTGGTCTTGTACAGATCGCGATTCAGGAATCATTCAATCATCGGCAGACACACACACACACACACACTCACTCACACTCACTCACACTCACTCACTCACACACACACACTCTCACACACACTCACACACACACACACTCTCTCTCTCTCTCACACACCCATCCATACCCTCACTCATCACGTATACTCACCTCCCCTGCCCACCCTTTGTCTCTTCCCCCTTTTGCGCAATCCAGACCCGATTGACGTTGCGTCGACGTGCGAGACGTGTGCGCACTTTCACCGCCAGGCGATCCAGCCGCTGTGGACCGCCTACGCCGACCGCGTGCAGCAGCAGCAGCAGCATCAGCTGGAACAGAAGCAGGGCGGCGACGGCTCCGAGGCCCTTGCCATGCTCGCAGCGGAGTTCCCCTTTGCAGCGTTCTTCAGCACGGCGCCGCAGCCGCTGTTCCACGGCCGCAGCTTTGATGAGGACTGGGAGATGGCGCTGGGCTGCATGCGGCACCTGAACCACGTGTTTGAGACGCTGCGGGAGTACCGGCCGTTTGAGCAGGTGCACCGCGGCAGAGACCGCTCAAAGTACCTCCTCACAAAAGAGGCAAAGATTGTGGCGATGACATGCACACACGCAGCCCTCACTCGCAGTGAACTCGTACGTATCGTCCACACCCGCTCTGTGTGTTTTGTGGCTGTGTCTGTGTCTGTGTGGGTGTGGGTGTCTGTGTGTGTCTTTTCCGATGTGCCTTTGTGTACGTGTGACTGTTTCTCTTCGACTACCTGTGTGCCTGCCTCTGCGGCAGTCACCTATGGTGGTGACGTGCCTTCCCTTGACGTCATCTTCTCCTGCTCACATCCACGCCTCGCAACCGAACCGAACACACCGCTGCCACACCCCTGCAGGTGAAGCTTGGGTTCAAGTACGACAACGTGGTGATGGAGGAGGCTGCCCAGATTCTCGAAGTGGAGACGTTTATCCCGCTCATGCTGCAGAACACGGAGGACGGATACAACCGCCTCAAGCGCGTCATGCTCATCGGTGACCACCACCAGCTGCCGCCCGTGATCAAGAACACGGCGTTCAAGAAGTTCTCCAACATGGAGCAGTCGCTGTTCACGCGGTTTGTGCGACTTGGCGTTCCCCACGTGCTGCTCGACAAGCAGGGCCGCATGCGTCCCTCCCTCGCAAACCTCTTCCGCTGGAACTACGAAGGTGCGCATCCACACCCATTCATTCATGCATCCATGCATACATGCAGGCTGGCTCCAACGTAGCAACCACCATGCGTTTGTTTTGTATTCTCAGTTCCCCAACACAAAACACACCCTCACAGTACCAACACACACATACAACATACAACACACAACGCGCCGCCAACCGCTGTTGCTGCCATTGTGCGTGTAATGCCAGGCCTGGGTGATCTGCCGCATGTGGAGAGTGAGAGCCGGTTCTCGCGCGCCAACCCCGGGTTCAAGTACGACTTTCAACTCGTCGACGTGGGCGACTTCCGCGGCGTTGGCGAGAGCGTCCCTTCCCCGCACTTTATCCAGGTACGTGCTTTTGTGTCTGTGTGTCTGTGTGTCTGTGTGTGTGTGTGTGTGTGTGTGTGTGTGTGTGTGTGTGTGCGGCTTCCATTACGTGCTCGCTACGTCCTCTCCTGTCGTTGTCCCAACACCAGCCACCAGCCACCAGCCACCAGCAACTGTGCTTCCCTCACAATCAAACGCCCCTCCCTCCCCCTCCCCTACTTTATCACCACGTGTAGAACCTTGCCGAGGCAGAGTACGTGGTTGCGGTGTACATGTACATGCGGCTGCTCGGCTACCCGGCTTCGCGCATCACCATCCTGACGACGTACAACGGCCAGAAGGATCTCCTCCACGATGTCGTGCGCGCCCGCTGCGCCAGTCATCCGCTCTTTGGCTCCCCGAGCAAGGTGCGACATTGCAGTGGCTTTGGTGATTGGCATCTGACAGTACCAACTCCACCAAACGACGCTCGACACACGTCACACACGCCCTTACAAAACACACATAGCTACACCACTCAACACGCACCAAACACCCCCTCCCCACCTTCACTCACACACATACACACACACACACACGCCACACTTGCACAGATTGAGACGGTTGACAAGTACCAGGGTTCGCAGAACGACTATGTGCTGCTGTCGCTGGTGCGTACGCGCAGCATCGGATTTATGCGGGATGTGCGGCGTATGGTGGTGGCCATGTCCCGTGCTCGCCTCGGCCTGTACGTGTTTGCGCGCGCATCGCTGTTCAGCCGGTGCAAGGAACTGGAGCCCATCTTCTCGCAGCTCACGGCGCGGCCAACCAGCCTCATGGTGTACCCGAACGAGGTGTACGGCCAGACAGACCGCGACGTGGGCACACAGCCGGAGGGCGCAATGCAGGTGCTGAACATGCCGCACATGGCACAGAGCGTGTACAAGATGGCCATGGAAAAGGTGCAGTCGCTCGCTGCAACCATGCCCGCCCCGCCAGTCGCGGACGAGACAGCAGCAGCAGCAGCAGCGGATGCGGATGCGGACACAACAGGCGAAGCGCCCGCAGCAAAGGCGGCAAAGGAGGGACCCGAGGAGGCCGAGGAGGCCAGGACAGAAGAGGAGGCAAGCGAAGCCGCCGCCACTGGCGCTGACATGGCTGAGGAGGCGAAGGAGACAGCTGCGTCCAAACAGGCTGAGACGAAGCAAGCAACAGAGGAGAAGGACAAGGAGCAGGAGAAAGAGAAGGAGAAGGAAGCACAGCCGCAGCAGGAAGAAGTGAAGAAGTCGCGAAGGAGGAGCTCAAAGGGCAAGCGCACGCCAAGACGAAGCCATGGAAAGGGCAAGAAGGCTGCGGCTGCACAGGCAGCGCAAGAAGAAGAAGAGACGAAGAAGGAAGATGAGAGTAAGGCCATGGACACGCAGGAGGAGAAGGAAGAGAAGGAAGAGAAGGAGGAACAGCCAGTTGAAGCCAATGAGGATGAAGATGAGGATGAGGATGAGGATGAGGGCGAGGAAGCCGTCACCTCTGGCGAGAAATCGCCTGATTTGACAATGACCGAAGTCAACAAGATGAGGGTACGTGGTCTTGTGATGGTGCAATTTTTGTCTGGTTTGTGTCTTGGCTCTTGCATTTCCTCTGCGCGTGCCTTGTTCTCACGCGCCTTGCTCTCTTCCTCCCTTCATCTCTTCCTCTCACCGCCGACGCTCATCACTTGCCGCTTCCGACAGGTTGTTGACCTGAAAGCCGCCTTGAAGGAGCGTGACATTGAGTTCCCGTCGTCCGCGCGCAAGAAGGAGCTCAAGCAGATCCTGGTCAAGGCGCTGGGTCTCTAACCACACACTCGCACATGCACATACATGCACAAGGGGGCTGCGTTGGTGTGTGCATGGGGCGTCTCATCTTCCTCTTCAGTTTGTTTCACTTTGTAGTCGTTGTCGCTGTCATGTGTGTCTGTGCTGCCGTCACCCGATATGCCTGGGCTGTTTGCATTTCTAAGTGTTGTATCGCGAAATGAATGTCAACCAGCGAAAGCTCTTACTCAATTGCGGTCGTGCTGAGCGCGCAACACTGTCGCAAGAGACGTTAACATGGGGAAGACAGAGAGATAAGGTATGTGTGTGTGTGTGTGTGTGTGTGTGTACGTGGGATGATGATGGTGCTGCACTCAGCATGCATGCATCGTACGCGTTTGTATGTGTGCTGGGAAACCGAGAACCGTGGTTGATAGGAGCGTAGGTGGATGTGCACGAGAAACAAAAACAAAAAAGGCGTCACCAAAAAAGGCTGTCTGGGCAAGCAAGCAGGCAAACAAGAGCAAATCAACGAAGCAGGATGTGTATGTGTGTGTGTGTGTGTGTGTGTGACGACGTGCAAAGCGACCAGCACGTTCGTGCATGCTGAAGCGAGAAAATGAACAGATGGAAAGCAGCATTGACAACAGAAATGGAAGGGGGAAAAGCAACTGCAACCGTGGTGTCGCAACAGCGAAACAATGCACAAAACAGAGAAGCGGAGCTGGGGAGGTGCTTCAGATGGTGGCATCAGCACAACAACCGTCACGAGCAACACAGGCGCACGCCATCAAGTCGCTCGCAACGGAATACGAAAGCGTGTTACATGTGTGTGTGTGTGTGTGTGTGTGTGTGTGTGTGTGTGTGTGTGTGTGTGTGTGTGTGTGTGTGGCGCCTTGCGCATCATGGGTATTCTGCGGCACCAGTGGGCACATGGCGGTCACGAGAGGACGTCTGTGACAGGGACATGGATGGCAGAATGAGGTTTGTGCGTGTGTGTGTGTGTGTGTGTGCTTGCGTGTGTGCATGTACCCGAATGCGCTTGCATGTACGAATGTACCCGCATGCGCTTGCATGTACGAAGATACATGGGCACGTCACACTGCAAGTGCACGTGACTTCAGCTGCATCACTCCCACCGAATAGCTCAACTCACCACGCTCTTTGACCTGCTGGTCCTTGTGCCTTCAAGCTTGTGTGTGGTCTTCGTGTCTGCACGATTCTGGCGCCCCTTTGCCCATCTGAATGAAATACAAAACACGGTTGTGCACACAATCCAATATGGCACATGGAATGAGAGATTGTGAGAGGTCATGGCATGGCAGCGTGTTGTGCAAATACACCCGACAATGACGCGGATTGTGGATTCCTCCACAGAACATTCAACAAAGACGTTGACATGCAAGCAAGGCATCATACCTGGACTGCTTGTCACCATTGCGCATGGCAAGGGCGCGGGGTCGCTCGCTGCGAACGTTGGCATTCTGAAAAGTTGCAAAAAGGAAAAGTAGATGCAACATGATGAGCAAGTGTACTCACACGGTTCTGGAAGCAAACATACACACATGCAACTACACTCACACGTACGCACGCGCGCGTCCACTAGCACACACACACACACACACACACACACACACACACACACGCACACGAACACGAACACATACACATTCACACAAACATAAACACAAACACAAACACGCGCACAAACAAATTCACACCAACACGAACACACACTCGCGCGCATCACCTTCACCTTGCTGCTGGCGCCGCGACTGACGGCGGTCATGCGTTGATATTTGGAGACGACGTTCTGCTTCTCCTTCTTAGCGGAACGAGAGGGGCGAATGAGGGGCCGGTGTGATGACGCCTTGGCTGGCGTACGCACTGCGCTCTGCGAGTCAACAACCGTCTTTGTTGCATCCGGGTTGTTGCCCGATGTGGTGTCTTCGTTCTCCTTGTGCGAGCTGTTGTCGTCGCTGCTTGATTGCTCGTCCCCAGACATGTCAAAGGTGAGGTTGAGTGACGTCCTCACCTCGTGCAGCGCCTCTTTTCTCCGCGCATTGCGCGTGGACGCGGGCAGAATGGCGCTCTGATCTGGTGAATGCAGTGCGGCAGGCAGGTCCTGGTTGCCGTCTGCAAGTGGGGTGCTTGACAGCCGCTTCGTGCCCGGTGCAGTGCTCTGCTTTGCATCCTGCTGCTCATCCCACTTGTCGGGCGTCGACAGGTCTGACATGTACCGCGGGTTGCGGCGCCGCGATGGGCGGGCGCTCGAGTCGCGTGTTGTCTCCATTGGTGTGCACGGCTGCGTCGCTGTTCCCTCGCTGCTCTTGACGGATGCCTCTGCAGCTGAATGCACAGTCACGGATGAATGGGTGCATAGGCATTGAATGAGATGTGGACGATGTGCAGAGCAAAGCGTTTGAGGTCGAACCAATGCAAGCATGAACAAAAGCGCTTGTGTCTCAGGTGGCGGAATTGCCCACATCCCGCCATCGTACCTTGTGCGTCCGTTCTGCCTTGTGTTGTGTACGTCTTGTTCACAGAGCGCATAGGTGCGCGCTTTGCAGAGAGCGCCTTCATGGGCGTGTGTAGCTTGTCTGGCGTTCCCTGGATGAGCTCGTTCTTGGATTCAAGCGACTGGCGATCAGGCCACGCCACCTCCTACACGCACACACACACACACACACACACATGTGCGTTGACAACAACAAGCAACAGGAAGTTGCATGGCGGTGAGATGAAGGCTGGCAATCGCTTGACACAGCGCCACCACCACCACTCAGCTCCTCTACAAGACGAGCAAGTGGACTCAGTCTTCCGTGCTTGCGCGTTAACAACGAACATGCGCAGTAGCGCGTGTGTTTTCTCTCCTCGTCAGGCACAAGCAAATACGCACCTTGCCGGAGAGGGCGAGGTTGAGAGCGTTGTCCGCAGATTCGAGTAGCTCCTTGTCTTCCTCCGCACCGACATCCGTCAAGCGCGCGCGCATCCGGGCTGTGGTGATAGTGATGGCCACAATGACGTCGATGACAATAACAAAGATGACAATTACGGAGAAAGTGATGGTGCCATCCATCGCAAGCAGTGTTGTGAGTGCCATGACATGCCTTGTGACATGAACAAAGCTGAGACACCATTGTCCTGTCTTCGTGACGAACAATACCAAGACACAGACAGTGCAATCGTTGCGCGTCCACGCTGGATTCCCCCTCCTTGCTGGCAGGTTTGCGTCACCTTGCTCTCCGTTCACTTACCGCAAGCCTTCATGAGGACGGTGACAACGCGGTCTGCGCGCGCATTCTCTTTGATTTCGTGGCGGAGTTCGTTGTGAAGACCGTCCACCCGCATCTTCAGCCCAATGTTCTGTTCGTGCATTTCAGGCACACAGAGGGAGAGAACGATGATGTTAGAACATACGGCTAAGCAACAGGCAAAATACACGCGCACAGAACTACACACACGCAGAACTACACACACACGCAGAACTACACACACACACATACACACACGCACGCACACGCACACGCACACGCACACGCACACACACACACACACATACACGCGCACACACACACATAAATAACTCCCCCCCCCCTACTTTCCGAAACCCACCTCGCACTGCATGGCGTGGCACTGGTAGATGTACTTGAGCATCTTTAGCTCCAGCCCCGTGCCAACTGTCTTCTCAATGCCCGCCTGCCACACAGCGTTTTCCTTTGTGTTACGAACCAGCTTCTCGCCAAGGACCTGACACGACGGGGAGAGGGAGGAAGAAGATAAAGCGGGTAAGGGGTAAAGGTGACGTCAGCGAGAAGTTACTGAAGGGTGAGACCACGCCAAGCCGACATACACACTGCCAACCATATGTCACGCAATGTCAATTTCTGGCCCCACACCCCCCTCACGCACGCACAAACAATCACATGTGCACATTGTACACCTCCACTCGCACCACCAAACCGCCAGCGCCATCCTGTCACCACCAAGAGCACTCTGCATTTCTGTATACGCGCACCTTCAGGTCGGCATCCGACTTGAGCTTCTCATCGGAGCTGCGAACAACATCAGCGTTGGCGCGCTCCACATGCGGCTGTGGATCGACGGAGGTGAGCCCGTGGTGCCGGAGCCAGTCGCCCCTCTTCGCCTCGCGTTTCGCCTTGCGAATGTCCGCCTCTCTCGCACGCGACGCCGCCTCTGCCCGGGTAATCTGTTGGATGATCTTGCGTCGTGTCTGGAACATGGGCACGAGGGACTTCATGCCACGTGACAGCACATCCTCCTGCAGGGCCGGCGCTGGTGACGGTGGCGGTTTCACTTTTCGCGCCTCCTCCAGCGCTTGCTGCGTCTTCCGCAGCTTTGTCTTGATGGACGTGAGCTCCGACTGCAGGCTCTCCACAATCTTCTTGTATCGCGTCACGTGGAAGTCGACGTTCACCACGTTCTTCCGCAGTGTCACCTGAGGAGTGGGGTTTTGTTATGTTTGTTTGGTTGTTTGGTTGGTTGGTTGTGTGGTTGGTTGGTTGGTTGGTTGTGTGTGTGTGTGTGCGTGCGTGAGTGAGAGAGGCGAGGGTGTGTGAGTGTGTGAGTGTGTGAGGCGAGTGTTTACGTGCGTAAAGAAAAGGGATCAAACAATACACAGCAAGTCCTGTCAGCGGAGTTGCATATGCGAGCACACCTTGATGTTCTTCGCGCGGTTTGCGTAGTTGAGCGTGTTGTACGTGTCTTCAAAACTGCGACTGTTGTGAAAAACAGAGCACGATACACAATGGCGCACAGAGGGCGAGTGAGCACACAAATGTGAAGAAAGCCGATACACGCATGCAGGCACAGATACGACATAACCTACACACACGCGTGATGCTGCACCCCAACCACACACCGCGAATCCGAGACACACACACACACGCACACACACACACACACATTCCGTCGAACCTTGAAGGGGAGCAGTTTGCGATCATGACAGTTCTGCAGTTGCCGCCAAGTGAGTCCTTTAGGATACGGGTGAGATTTGAGTTGCGATACGGAATGTGGCACGACTTCTTCTTGCCGGCTGCACAGGAGGGAGACACGGGACACAGGAGAGGAGCAAAATCCCATGATGATGAGTTCGTGCTGATGATCGTGGACAGGTTCGGTACACAAACCAAATTGAGTAATGAGGACGCTAGGGGACGCCTATAACCCAGAGTGCGCTTGCGCACACATGCGAGCTCCTAGTTCCCAAACACGCACACGTATACACACCACACCACATACGACGCAACTCACACCACAAAACACGCACACATATACACACCACACCACACACCACGCAACTCACAAGCGAGGGCGTTGATGCAGTTGCCGAGAGCAAGAAGCGACTTGTTGATGTTCGCGCCCTCACGCATGCGCTGTCCACGGTTTCGTGTCGCTGTGGCCCTCTCTGAACCAGCGAGATCAATCAGCATCATCTTGGCAACGCTCACATCCGCCCTGTCGAGGTGTGGGCATGCGTGTGGTGGAGATGTGGGGGTGGGGGCAGAAGCAAGAGAAATAATCGAGTGAGTACACGTGGCAGCTAGTCTGGTATGACTCACACAATTTCTCTCACAGGCACACGTACACACACATGTGTGTGTTTGTGTGCTTGTTGCATTGTCTCACTTGATGCCTGCGCCCTTTGGCGTCTGGTGTACGTGGACAATGAAGACAGCGTGCGAGCGCGATGATGTTGCGTTTGCGTCCGTCGGATGTTGTGTCCTGTTCTCGTTTCCACGCTCCAGCAACCGCAGCAGAGAGGATGCGTCTTTTGGTTCGTGGACCGACAGGCCGGCAACAACAACGCCTGGACAAGGAGTGGTGGATATCAAGTAGTCAACGAAAACAATGAAAGCGCACAAACAACAGCGTCAATGTGAGTATCAGCACAAGAGCCACAACCAGAACAAGAGTAGTGCATGCCTTCACTTCAACAAGACGACGTTGGCAAACAACATGCAAACACGTGCAGTGCATGTAACACACCTTTTCTGTCTTCCCTTAGCCTGAGCTCGCCCGAGCTTGGCTTGAGCAAATCCCTGATGCGCTCGTTGTACACCTCCAGATATGACACCGCCACGTTGCACGAGATGTCGTCCTGGCGCTCGCGAATGCGCTTGAACAGTTCTTGCACCGTCAGCACAATCACGCCAGGTGCCTGTTTGGTTCCGTGTATGTGTGTGTGTGTTTGTGTGTATGTGTGTGTACGTATGCATGTATGTAAATACGTGTGTGTGTGTGTGTGAGTGCGTGTGTGAGTGCGAGTGTGTGTGTGTGTGTGTGAGTGTGAGTGTGAGTGTGAGTAAGTGTGTGTCGTGCATTACAAGAAGCAGGCAAACAAAGCTACTTCACATCTGATTGTGAGGTCACAAGTCGACGTGCAATTCAAGACGTAGACAAATGACGCACCTTGTTGTGTCCGAGCATGGTGTGAGTCTTGCCAGCACCGGTGGCGCCATAGCAGAAGACGGAAGCATTGTATCCATCCAACACCCCATCGATGATCGGTCTGTTTGACAAATCACAGCGAAGGCCAGCACCACACCACACATGATTAGACACGTGCAAGGGCAATCCACGTGTTTGTATGTGTGTGTGTGCACAGTGCAAGCTTCCATCGCATCCATCCCTGCATTTGCCCTCCCCGTTTGTACTTTGTGGTGCTCTGGAAGACGTCGTCTTGGGAAGCGTCGGCGTCGAACACTTGGTCAAACACAAACTTCACGTCCCTGCACGACAGCATCAACATGCGTGAGACGGTGCAAGCCCGCAGCTGCACATGCGACGCATCTGGGAGGTGCATTTTGGAGGTGCAAATGACTCGCGTTCACGCACAAACACAAACAACACAGTCAACATGCACAGAATCACAGCACAAGACGCACACGTACGAGTGTGTATGTTTTCACCTGGCGCGTCGTCGAAGGAAGCGGGGATGACGCCGGCGCGGTGCACCCAAGAAACTTGGCGTGTTGTCCGTCTGACAATTGTGGGTGCGAAAACACGGGCATGGTGAGCACACACACACACACACACACCCTCACCAACACACACACACACACACACACACACACACACACACACACCCCACACACACACACACACACACACACACACACACACACACACACACACACACACACACACACACACACACACACAAACACACAAACACGCAAGTACATTACGCCTCCAACGCGTTCAACACCTTTGGATCAAACACGAGCATCTGCTCGTCGAGGACTTGGACCACTTGCTTGAATGTGCCCGTCTTCTCTTCCTCGTTCTCTGGTCGGATGCGCACGCACACCCTGCACGCACGCATGTGGAAACCGCCGTCCATCCGTCAGTTGCAAGCATGACTGCGACTGGCAGCAGCAACCAAACACTCCCATTTCCTCTTGACATAGCCCTCCCCCTCCCCTTCATTGTAGTGCCGTGCATGCATGCGCGCAGGAACACCAACGCAAACAAACAGCCCCACCTGAAGTTGTTGGCAGAGCCAGCATCGTCAGCGTCGCGGCTTGGTCGGCCCATCTCCGCCTGTTTCAATTGCTACCACTGTTGCTGACGTGAAAGTGTTGTTGTAGCTGTTGTTGTTGTATCTGCTGTTGTTGCTGCTGTTGTAGCTCTTGTTGTTGTTGTTGTATCTGCTGTTGTAGCTGTTACTGTTGTTGTATCTGCTGTTGTAGCTGTTATTGTTGTTGTATCTGCTGTTGTAGCTCTTGTTGTTGTTGTTGTTCCTGTTGCTGTACCCTCCTTTCTGTCTCTGACCCGCTCGAGCACAAAACACACCAAACCACCACCACCACGACAATGACACCACGACCACTCACACGGAACCGCTGTTCCTGGATTGATGTCCTTCCACCCGATTTGAAGTTGGCGGCGGCTCGAAATTTTCGCCCTTCGCAGTTGTGGTGGATACGATAATGCGCACGAATGTCCACACACTCCCTGACGGTCATGTCATGTATGTTTCGCTGTTGCGATTCGCGCCACTGCATTTTGTCGTGTTGTTTTCCACCTCAGCAACGCTGCCGTCCGTCGTCAGGCAAGTGTCGATGCGCTTCGCTTCGCTTGCTTGTTGCTTGCTTGCTTGATGAATGGCGCAGTGGCAGAGAAGGTGTTGTTGTATGTTGTTTGTGGTCAGTGATGAATGGTTGGATGTGCGCATGAGGGAGGTTGGGGATGGCGAAGACGACATGCCACCTGCCGGTGCTGTTGTGTCATGGCAGTCGCAGTCGTGTGTGTGTGTGTGTGTGTGTGTGTGTGTGTGTGTGTGTGTGTGTGTGTGTGTGTGTGTGTGTGTGTGTGTGTGTGTGTGTGTGTGTGTGTGTGTGTGTGTGTGTGTGTGTGTGTGTGTGTGTTGGGTGGTGGTG